AAGAAAAAATATGTGTACAGAAAAGCGCTTAGAAATTTGCTCAATAGCACATTAAAAGGTGTTTAAGCTGTAGGCCAAGGCCCAGTACAAAACACTGCTAGACTAGAAGTTAAGCAAGTATGTTCACGTCTCCTTCATAAGGGTACTTATCAGATTCTTGAATTATAAAACAGTACATTCTGAAAGCATTATGTCATCCCAGACTGACAGCCTCAACAGCAAGGAAAGCTAAAGGTTACCTGCCAGACCCTTCTGCTTCCTCCGGACTTTTAGCTTACCCCTTTTAGCCAGAGGGATGCCAGCCTAGCTCTTAAACTGCTGCTGTTATTTCTTACCAGCACTCCATTTTAATTCTCTCAAAGCAGGGAAACACTCCTGCTCTCACGTGATGTTTATTCTTAGAGAGGATCCCAGGGATTTTTATTTAGCTAAGTTCAGTCATGCAGTTGGCCAAGTGCCATAAGAGCATCACAGAACTCCTCGGGTCTGAAAAGGGAGCAGCATTAGTGCAGTATAGACATATTAATAGCATTAAAAGTGGCAGGTTATGCAAGAAAGACCTGGGTAATTGAAGATAAATTAACTCTCACTGGAAACTTGTTACTGCCATGCAAAGTTCACGACAGACTTCATAAAAAAAGCATGACAGCCACAGTCTGAGGTCAGTTTAACTGCCTACACTCATCATACAGCAGAACCTCATTCCTCCTGAGCTAGTCGAAAGAACAAATTTAACCATTTGAGCCTTTCCATTCTCTTGAGTTCCCTGCCTAAAAAAGCGACCAACATTAGCTACTGGTGACCCAACTAGAATGAGCAGAATCACATTTCGGTAACAATTCTCATAAATAACTACAAACTTAAGTCTGGGAGAAATGTACTGAAGTCACTGCTCCAATTTTTTCGTTTTTCACCTAAGAAATATTCTTAAATGTTGCAAGCAGATGAATGCAGACTTAGTTCAACTAGAATGGTGCTTGTGTGGCTTATCTGGTTAAAAGTTTAGGTAAAGTGGAGAAAAACAAGACGTCCTGTTAGCCAATGCTTGCCTTGGGCTGCAGCATAGGAAAACACTGAAAGGAGCTACAGGAAGAGGCCTTATGTTACTTCTCAGCCTCAAGGAACGTATGTGAGAGTAATCGTTTCTCCTTGCTCATACCTTTAGGTTTTTTAAATCAGATTGGGTGGCAACCTGGGGAAGAACACTCATTTCTGAAATGAGTTAATGCAGAAGAATGGTTTCCACCATCCAAAATGTATGCAGGAAGCCAGCAGAGGAGGAAGGGAGTAGCTACTGCAGTTCAACCACTATTGTATCTACATTTCCGTACTCTTGATAACAAATGCATTCAACGATGGCTGAAAAACAAGGCATTGGTTAGAAAACAAAAGCTGAGCTTTCATGAAAGAGCAATAAAAGAAATTTCAGGTGTCCCCGCAATGTTATCAGGTTCAGTCTATTAGTTTCTTTAGAGAATGATTCACTTCCTTATTGCAGGTATGGCTGCAATATCCAGTATCACAGTATTGTGCCCTTTGACACAGGCAGTTTCCCTTCTAAAAAAGAAGATGATAAGGGACAAAATAAATAATTGTTCAGTTAAAAAAACAAACTTTTTTTTTTTTTTAATTTTAAATAAAATAAAGGGTTTTGCTTGAATCACTTTATGGAAGCAAAACCACATATGGTAAAGAGACATAAAATGGTTTGGGCTGAGAGGGCCCTTAAAGCCCCCCCAGTGCCACCCCCTGCTCCGGGCAGGGCCCCCTTCCCCCAGCCCAGGGGGCTCCCAGCCCCGTCCAACCTGGCCTTGAACCCTTCCAGGGAGGGTTCCCACCCACAGCTGCTCTGGGCACCCTGGGCCAGCGCCTCACCCCCCGCACAGGGAACAATTTCTGCCTTAGATCTCACCTAAATCTCCCCTCTGGCAGCTTAAACCCGTCCCCTCTCGTCCTACCCCCACCCCCTGACCCAGAGTCCCTCCCCAACTCTCCTGTCCCCCCTTTAAGCCCTGGGAGGCCGCTCTCAGGGTCCCCCCGGAGCCTTCTCTTCTCCAGGCTGAACCCCCCCAACTCTCTCAGCCCGGCCCCCCAGGGGAGCTGCTCCAGCCCCCCCAGCATCTCCGTGGCCTCCTCTGGCCCCGCTCGAGCAGCTCCGTGTCCTTCTGCTGTTGGGGGCCCCCGAGCTGGACACAGTCCTCCAGGCAGGGAAATGGTAGCATCACCTTCTTCCCAAGGGTTCCCTCCTACTTCGAGCACTAAATTGGTTCTGCTCTCAGCATTCTCAGCCTAGAAGGTTGGCGTATACTTCCTCTAACCCCTTTTAAAATGGTGAGTGATAATGCGCCAGCCCCTCCTCCAAACTGCAAAATCCTCTCAGAGGACAAGAAATCACACATGGTTTGCTAAAGCAGAGGAAATTCATTCTTATCTGCTTGCCTTACCTGAGGAGAATTCTCTGGAAGCAGAGCTCTGCTGCAGGAGGGGAGCAGGAAGTCACACAGCAAGTAGCAGCTACTTGCTCCTACCACAATTATGTCAGCAGCAGCAGCCCCAACCTAGTTCAGTTTCCATCAATAAAATTGATCCTAAAGATGTGGGTTTGTGCATGTTTCTTCCCAGTTAGAGCAGCTATACAAAAAATATAAATTAATCCAGCAGGTCACCTACACACATGTAACCAATACAACTACCAAATGAAGTTCTAGGTACCACAAGTCATAGTCAGCATTTGTAGTTTAAGAAAGCAGGATGACCGAACGTGCAACCGTCCTTTGTTGAAAAAGCTCATAACAGAATAAGCAGGAAGAACCTGTTTACTTCTGAGTGACAATCTGAGATGAACAGGTTATTGTTTTTGTAAAGAACCCAAGATATTCCGCAATCAGGTCACCCAACAAGAACCAACCAGCCAGTGCCAGCCTCCCAAACACCTCCTCCTTCCCGCCCGCTCTCCCGGGCTTCTCCAAAGGATGTTGGGGAGGAAGTTGCCTTTATTCGTCCAGGCAGTCAATGAGCATGGATTAAATGTTCCCGGATAAATTACTTCAGGAAGCATTTTGAGCTGCTGAATAGAGTCAGTGGGAAACACCTGTTTGACTTCCATGTCCTGAAACCACAGAGCAAATGCTGAGAGGTACAGACACATGCATCCCTGGGACTCTAGGAGGCTAAAGCTTATGTTGTAACTCTCATTCTTGTACAATGGGGAGAAGGAAGAAAATTGTAACACAGCAAAATCATCCCCTTGGGCAACTTGGGAGTTAACAAGATGACCAAGTAAACTGAAGTCTGAAATCCATTCCAGACATCCAAGGAATCTGGCAGACATTAAGACCACATTGGTCAAAACTAAGTGAGAGTGAGATGGAAAGAGGGAGAAAATGTTCAAGACCAGAACATGCAGAAAGAGCACTTGCACTCCTGTCATCTCTGTTCAGCTGCACACAGCGCTCACTCCCTGCAGGAGAGGGTGACAGCCCACTTCCACTGACCTCTTTAGCTCCACCGAGGCCACAGTGAAAATGCACACGCAGCATGTGGGCATCTCCCCTCCCTCCATCCCACCCAGAGGGACGTAAGCCATCTTATTTGGCTTTTATTCACAAGGCTTCCAGAAAACACCTTAAGGTGGTTTTGCAGGCAGCCACTGTACAAACAGCTGGTGGTGGTGCTGCCCCAAACTGAGCCTGGTTCCAGTCACATCCTGACTGGATGCACAAGAGAATCAGCCCGAGTGAAGACAGGACTCTGCACCTCTGACGTTATCTTTGCACCTGCCATTTATTAAGGAGAGTAAATAAGGCGTTTTAGGAACCATTTTATCCCATACCCATAACAAAGTTTTAGGAGACAGGCAAGGCTAGTGTCACTACAACACAGTTTTAGTAAATCATAGTAGATACAGCTGGTGATGTTAAAACAAGCTGTAATTGAACTGCATCCATTGGACTCCTCTGCATTCATTGCAGCCAAGTATCTTTGCATGGTACTGGCAGACCGACATTAACAGCTTAGTCATTTCTGTGTAAGTCTGTGCCCTGTGTTTCATTGGTTTACATTCTAGACTACCTTAAGGTTAAGGCAGAAGAAAGTATTAATTAGTGGAGTAAAGAGATTGATACTGCTCCCAGGACTTGAAGAAACAGTCAGCAGTTCAAAACTATCACGGTCACGCCAATCAAACTGCAATGCAGAAGACACCTGGGTCCCTCAGTGCACACAAATATCATGAATAAATGGCAATTCCTTCACTAAAACATGTTATGTGAGCACCTGCACCCCAAATATCCTCAGACTGCAGACCTGAGGATAGACTCCATTGAAAGTGCATCTTTACGGTGCCTTCCACAAAGGCAGGATGGGACGAGAAACTTGGATGATCTGCTGCTCCAAATTCCTAAGAAATCAAATCAGACTTGTTTTTCCTTAGCTTAGTTTGCCCATTCTAACCTTTTGTAGTCCTCTTCATCTGATAAAAAGATTTGAGTGACCATGTTAAACAAGATCTCTGCCCTTTGCAGCAGAAAAAGAAAGAACAGAAGGTCCAACCGGCCAGCAAGGACTTCCTTTGTGTCACACACCAGCTCTACTATCTTGAACAGAAGCAGGGGAATGTTAGAAAGTTTAATAAATACCCAAAGGAAGCATGCAAAAAGAGTAGTAAATGAAGCATTTAACAGAAAGGAATGGAAAGGTAAGTGCATTTCAGGTATGTTTATTCTGCAGAAGTTCCAGTCACAGAACTCTCCAGCTAATGCCGTTTAAAGACACGCAGACTCTCCCAGAGTCCATTTAACACTCCACTTGTCATAGCCAGGCATGCCTGCTCCGCCAAGCTTTGCTACTGAACTTCTGTCAGAGATTTTGACATGGTAGAACTCTAGATGGTAGCTCTATTTCCCAGAACAAATTAAGTTTTAGTGTGTACATGCAGCTCTATCAAACTTTTGCTTTTTATTAAAGATCTAGTATTGTGTCATTAGAAAAGTAGCTCATACCTCAAAAGCAGGTGTTCCCTTTAGCAGGTCCTTCAGTCCTCAGAAACTGCTTATCTGCAAAATACAATGCACAATTAAAATAAAGTCATACAATTACAGAGTACTTGGATGTAAGCTTATTAGGGATGGCTAGGAGATTATTTATGTTACCCAAAATGAGCTAAATCTTGAGAAGTTTGCTACCATCCCATCACAGTCATCCAGGCAGCCTTCTTTAATGGGTGCTCCTTGAGAGGAATACTATCTAGCTATTAGTATTTCACATCAACACTCACTCAAGCTATTAAGGATATACCATGAAAATTGTGAGCAATTTCTCCCTCATCATGCATCTTAATAGTTTTTTACAAACACACCACTGAAGCTGAAGTAATCCAGGATGATTAGGACACCCCTCCACCATTAAGCAGTATTTCAGGTGCTCATATAATGGCTTAAAAGCTCTGAGAGTCCCTCTCAGGCATACACCTGCAGAGCCACCTGCACCAGCCAGGTTTGATTCACAAGTTCATTTGACTGGAGATGAACAAAGCCAAAGAGGCACCAGAAGATCTGGGGCCCAGTTTATCAGTTATTACTATGTAGAGCCACTGCGTGAGGCACTAAAGGCTTTCAAATGGCAGAACTGTCATGTTTTAGTCCCAGATAAGCGATAAAGCAAAGATGAAGCTATTTTCACTCAAGGAAACCTATACCATGCCATGCCATTTTCTGTACTTCCAGACTTCAGTGTGGACTCCCTTGCAAAGTTTGTAACACATTCACAAGGCAAAACCTGCAGGTATTGCTAGACGTGTTATTCAACTAGAAAAGCATATGCTGTATTCTTGTAAGGATTACATTAATGATACTTGGATTAATATTTTAAGGGGATCCAGACTTAAAAAAAAAAGGGGGGGGGCAATCAGGAGCTGTATTTCAGGTGCACACAGCAGGCTATCTTCTGATCTTCTGTACATTTTCCATTATTTCAGTGAAGCTATACCCACCAGCTTTACCAGGGAACTATCTCCTTATCTACTGGGTGTTGTGTCCCAAATTTTTCTATACAGTATTTTACACTTCATTCATTAATGACACTTTATTGTAAAACAAGCATATCTACACACATACACACGCAAAAAAATTCTAGAAAAATAACACTCCTTACACTCCCCATACAGCGCTCCACAGAAAAGAATATAAACTAAGCTGCACAAAGTATTTCAATCCACATGGAGAAACGTCCAACTTGTTCTTCACCACAGCAAGTAATCAAGCCAGTCTCAAAACAAAATATCATCTCAGTACCTGCTTATTAATGCAAAGTCCTATAGAAACACTAGTGCTTGCTCCTCTCCCTACAGATGCACGCTGCATGTCACATGGAAGTAAAACACCGGAGCTTTCAGTTAAATGAGAAACCAGCCCAGTGAAAAGGAGTATCATTGCAGCTTTAGTACGTGGTACGCCCTCAGGAATGAGAAAAACCTTCCGATAGAGTCCTGTTCCCTTCAGAAGGGGTGGAGAATTCCTAAGTTAATTAAGGAATGAAGAAATATCTTCTGTATGATTCAGATACACGAGTATGAAGGATAAGCTCTTGCTTATGTGCAACACTAATGCTCCCCTTTCCAACAGAAGGAAGCTTTGCTAATACACATCATAAACCCACACTGTCTTTTTCCACATCATTATTTGCAGTTTAGCCACCCTGTGATAAATTGGGGCATCAGGGTAACTTCTCCCCAGCTACTTCCAACTGATGAACACCCAGATCACATCCAAAGGCATCAAGCACTAAATGCCCAGCCCGACAGTCCGCTCCATTAAAGTGCATCCCACATCTGCTGCTGTGATCCACCAGGTTATTACACTCTCACACTTTGATATTCCAATCTCTCTGCACTGAAAACACTAAAAACTTTGACTTGTTAAGGAAAAAAGAAATAAAAACCCCGCAGCCCTATCTTTTGTGGCAGAACAATAAAGAAAATGAGAAGCATTAGCTCCTTTTTCAGTGCTGGGCATTGCTACTCCATCTCAAATTGGGTAGCACTGTATCAACCATGGTTCCAATAACAGTGAAGTAGAATCTACCACAGTTTCTTGGTCTGGGCAAGAAAACCTGCATCTCTAGTTGCTCTTTAAATAAACTCTGCAGGAGAGAATTCCTATACTACCGAGGTGGTCATAACTACCTGCAGTTGAAAGGATTGATTTTTTTCCTTAAGTATGGGGTGTTCTCAACTGACAAGCAGAAATGCTAAATATTCTGTCTTTCTTACCCCAAATTGACAGATCTGCTAGAATTGCAGGCTGACTCCAAAGAGTTTTAATGTGCTAGGTCTCACAGTGGGCTAAGATACACTTCACGTTGTCCCCTCACATAATAAATTGAGGAAGATTCCAACCACTTACAGAAGTGGTGGTAAACAGCCGGGGGGGGTGAAAAAATAAGCCATCTATCACCTGGCCAGCAAATACTGACTCATGTGTTCCATTATTAGCCATAATTGTCTTCCAGTTTGGAGAACTATTTCCTAGAACTATTTTAATGTTAAGAGGTATCTGTCTATACATTGCAACCCTGATTCCAAGTTTGCAACTTTATTTCTCCCCAAGACAATTTTTTATGCAAGTGACACTGAAAAGCAACCCAACAGAGGAAAAGCAGTCTACTATTTCATTTACATCTCACACCACACCCGCTCTTCATTTTTTTTATCTTGCCTACACTATCAGAAAACAGGTAATGCCTGGTATGCATACTGTCCCATCATGTTTGCTATCCCTATAATATCCAGTTTCACGTCCTGCACCAGTAGTTCTTGTTCCTCAGCTCTTCTGGTTCCCAAGCTCCTTGCACTTTTATTACTGAACATTTCAATGGCTTCTCCAACTTCACCCAGTTTTCCACACAGGTTTACTTTTCCCCCCAACTGAACCTCCTGCATCCCATTAATACACTACACTACTTTCTGCTTACTACCCAGTCTCTCACCTTCTGTTTCTTTCTCACCTGAGATTTCACCAAATCCACCCCATCTATAATACAATAGTTATTCTGAGGAGTCCCAAAAGTATATACATATTTCAGGATAAACATTAACAATTCATTCCTGCTTTTCATAATTTTGAAGGTTCTTCCCACTTTCAGTAGCAGCTACTTGTTTCTGCCAGTTTCCAGTGGCAGCCCTTTTGAGGATGGAGCAAACTACCACCTTTCCTTGGCCCATGAGAAGAGCCTACAACTTACCTTGGTAAGCCACCCAAAAAGGATGCAAGACAGAAGCAAGGAAGTGATTCTCCTACATCCACCTCACAAAATTATCATGATTAGACAGTCTCTAGTTCCAATAATTTAGTACTTCTTGCATGAACAACACTTGTCTCAAGCTGCGTTTATGTTGCTCTACTGCCAAAGAGAGAGATAGAACAAACCTCCAGTTGCATTCAGGATTATTACTCTTACCCTAGCTAAATGGAATGTACTTCAGCGCAATTAAGTTTATAACAGAAAGAATGTGCCATTCCTCATATCAGATGCCCTTACAGGCTCCCTCAATGTCTCTAAACAAGTAATACTTTCTGTTTTCTCATCCCTAAATTCCTAAGACTGTTCCCCATACCCCAGGGGAGAAAGTCACTCCATCCTTTAGTTTCCTGTTGTGTCTCACCCTTCATACTTTGTTTCCAAATCTCTAGATAAACAGCTTCCTTTAAATAGCTCCCCATCCTAAATATGCACAGTACATGAAGATCACTTGATATGAAAAGCTAAGAGGGGCAGCACACATTGCAGCTACAGCATTCCACATGCAAAGCAGTATCACGTTGTCGAATACCATAGGTTTGAACACAAAGTCTTGTAAACCCTGAGCTATATATACACATGGCGGCCATGAAACCCGGAGATTAAGGCATCTCAGATTTTTATCCCAGTCCTTTCCTAGAAGGATAATGCTAGCGGCAAATTAACTACAACAACTTGACACAAGGAAAACTGCCATTACAGCCACAAGCCCCTATGTTGTCTCCTTGCCTGTACCTGAACTCACCAAGACCTTAAACCGAAAGTTTATTCAAGAATATACGATGGACTTTTTCCTTTGTGGGTACCATTCCCAAATACTTAATGAATTTTTGTTAAGCATCAAATTCCTGTTCCCACACTTGCATGAGGCATCTCAGATAAAGCTGACAGTACTTGGAAAAGACTGCTTTTTAGATTCAATTCTAGGCTTTTGAGTAGAGCTTCTCCCAAAAGAGAGAAGGAAGGTGCTGAAAGTAGGCTAATAAAGAGTCTTTGAAATACAAGATATAGTTCCACCGAACTCTAAGAATGAGTAAACTTCTGGGGAAACATTCACTAACAAGTTAGACTTTCACAGTAGTCACGCAGCTCTTTCTACAAGTAGTAAGAGATCATACTTCCCAATTGCAGGTCACACGCAGAAGAATAAAGGTCTGCAGCTGTAAAGCAAGCAGATATTCTTCGGCAATATCGACATTTAATCCTTATTACAGGGGACAGGCTTTAAAAAAGTCTTCTGCAGCAATTCAGGTTGACAAAGTTAAGAACCAGTGAGGTTCATCCAGTCAGACAGTAAATAAGCAGCTGCACAAGCGTAGCTGTTTTCATAGTACAACAGATTTTCATATGTCAAGAGCAATTTGAATAAAACAACAACATGCAATGATTCTGGAAATTTGGAAGAGTGACTCAGAGATTACCAAATCACCAGTGTCAAAGACCAACCAAGGACCTTCCAGAATGATCCCAAAAGAATGGACAATGCAAGAAATGCTAATTAAGAGGTAAGCTCCAGCAGTCAGCAGCCTTTAGTTAGTCCATGTACAACCAAAGAGTGTGGGGAGGGTAGGAACAAGTAGGCAGCTGCATGAGAAGACAGCGTACACATGACAAGAGGCTGAAAACACCCAGAGAAGGCTGAGATTAAATACTTTGACAGAAGTCATCTTTGAATCTTTCTGTAGATCTTTCAGATGTGTCTAAACAGAAAAAAATCTTAACATATAAACATCCAGATCCACAAAAAGAAAAAAAAAAA